CGGTTATTACAATTTATCATTTTTAATATTATTAACGTTTCCACGTTTTATAATTTATTATGTTAAATAATACACAGTTTTGGTATTTCAATTTATTATTCAATATGCAGTTGCGTATAACCAAAGTTTACATAATAAATGTAAACTTTATTGTAAATCTAAACTTGGGTGTAACCTAGGTAGGTACTTATTGTTATTGGGAAAACAATACTTATATTTTTTACCTGTTTAAAATGCCAGCACGAGTAAAACAGCATTCATCCGTCCAGAGCACTTTGTTAATAAAGTTCTGCTGCACTTNCCTCGGCCGGTCACGTTCAGGGGACGCCGCTTAGACTTACGTTTTTCTTCCACCAGTGGTACCTTCTTCTAGCCACCACAACAAACAGCAAAACCACGCTCTGCTACCAATGTTTTCGTGGAGCTAACCAAATACCTTTCCACTACTTTGCTCTGCTACCAATAGTTTCGTGGAGATAACTAAATAATAGCTGAGTATCAAAGTAAACGATTCAAGATTATTATTCAAAATTTCCTGAAATCAAAAAGTTGAAAAATATCACGAGTAAAGTTGTAATTAAATCTATAAAAAGCGTATTTCTCGTCATGGAATCCCGGATGTTTTAAGAACCGATAATGGACGACAATTTACGAGCTTTGAATTTCAACAATTTGCTAAAGAGTATGGCTTTAAATGGATAAGCTCTAGTCTTGAATATCAACAGTCGAATGGACAAGCCGAGTCAGTTGTCTAGCTTTTTTAGCATATCGTAACACCGTAATAAAGTGTGGTGCTTCTCCTGCGCAACTTTTATATGGAAGATCTCTAAAGGACAGAATCCCAAGAATAGAGGAAAATCTAAAACCAAAGTTAACCGATCATGATAAAAATAAAAACGAACAAAATAATGAAAAGAAGAAGCAGAAAGAAAACTATGACAGGCGGCATCGAGTGAAAGAACGAGAAAGTTTGGAAAGAGTAGATAAGGTGTAGATAATAAATATGCAACGGGAAGGAATAGTTCAAAGGAAAGCTGACCAACCAAGATCATATGTAGTGGAAACGGGAGACAGTAACATAGTACGTAGGAATAGTCGTCACCTTCAAACATTACAGACGAATCAATAGGAGGACCCGCAAGGGGAAGAAGAACGGAGTAATATAGAGGAGCCTACAAGACCCAAAAGAAATAAAGTTAAGTATTTGGAAGATTATATATCGACGCTTTAGTATGAAAACATGCTATCTTAGATTTCGATTGGAAAACATGCTATCTCAAATTTCGGTTGGAAAACATGCTATCTCAAATTAAGCTTGGAAAACTTGCTAACTCAGATCTTTAAGTAAAAATATGCTATTTCAGATTGACTAGAAATTTAAGTTGGTACATTGAATGATTGAAACCGTGCATTTATAATGAACTATATTTTAATATAATATAATATATTTTTCAAAAAGTAAGAAATATTTATGTTCTGGTACAGTTTATTTTATTTTTTTTTATTCAACATTTTTCAATTAATGTTGTTACTGTTAAAAACGACAAACTTGTTAATTAAAAAAATAGAATAATATGCAGTATGCTGCAACACGTACATTACTCGACGTTTTTTGAAATAAAAAATTATAAAAAAAATAGTGTATACCACCGACTATAAATCAGATAAGAGTACGCTATTAATTTTGATATAAAATTCTATGAAAAAAATCGAATAATTTTTAGTAATAAACATTTTTAGATATTAAGGTATACACTATTTTTTTATAATTTGTTATTTCAAAAAACTTCGAGTAAGGTACATGTTGCAGAATAGTGAATATGATTCTATTTTTTAATTAACAATTTTGTCGTTTATAACAGTGACTTTGACGTTACAGTCCTTACGTATCGAGAGTAATTTTTGAAAATTTTCCATATTCTATATTCAGACGTCATTATCTCGAAAACAGTTAAAGATAGGTATAAGTTATGTTGCATAAAAAATGATCAGAATTCCATGGAGAATTGAATAAAAATACAAAAAAGTGGCGTTTCCATTAAAAAAAATTGGCCTTGATTTCATAATTTTTTTTTGGGCCATCCTGTCTGTATAAATGAAAATTGCTTCAGAAAATGCGCAACTAAAAATATAATTCGACGGGTCCGAGCGATTTTTGAAATATCGAACATCTGATTTTTAAATAAATATATTCCATACTTTTGCCACTCACTGTATATTAATTAATTCAAGTTTTGATTTTTGTTTCATCCTATTACGCAGGTTTATTCCTCCACTTACCTTTTTTGTATTGTTTTTCCAGACAGTGAAACGCAAACTCCATTGTCACCGCCATGGAACGCTCCAAGGAAGCACGAATTAAGACTAAAAATCAAAAAGTTGTCTATGCGTAGGAGGGATAATCAAGATATGCAAGAGCCACATTTGAAGAGGCAGAAAGTGAACAAAGAAGACATATTCATTTACTTGAGAGAGCACTTTAATAAGGGGCTATTAACATTTTTAGAAACAAAGTTGTTACGGTTTAATTTTTTACGAGCAAATAAATTAGATTTTGGAACACGAGGTCAGCAACCAGCCAGCCCTGCTTCCAAAACGTGGATTGCCTATGTCGCTTGGCGAAGATCGCGCGGTTTAACCTCCTGCGGCGATAAAACAGACTACAACTATTGCGACCATGGATGGGCGTACTCTCGTATTTTGATGATTTTGGATTGCAAAAAAAATTCTGAATTCTGATTTTATTAGTTTTGAGACGCTTGTGTCGATTTTGGGAAATTCGGGGCTATGTTGTTAGAAATGGGTAAGGTTGGCAGGAATTGTTCTAGAATTTCGGTGCGCAAAGGGCGTTCGGCATTTTTTTTCTTGTGCTTCAGTGACCACGCCGTTGGGTTTGCCTGGAAAGCAGAATATAGTGCCTGTTAGAGATTTCTAAGGATTAAAACTGCTTTTCCGGTGACTGTCCAGTGGATAGTTATTTTCAATACGTTGGAGTTTGGTTTGGTTGCGAGTTGATATTGAAAATATAGCGGCCTTTTGGTTGGATCATGTTTATACGACGTCACCCGGGCGTGAGACTGTTGTACTAAGCCAATTTCTGCCGTACCTCCAACCAGGTAAGTAATTTTCATTGTTTTTCGTCGTAAAGCTAGCCATACACGAAATCTAAGTATTGGTGTACCTTCAGGGCATTTTGTACGGGACCCCCATTTCGTACGGACCTCATGTTATATGGGACCGTCCTTGTTGGTACGGACTGGATTTTTGTACCGGACCTGAATTTTCGTGCCTCTGCCTATCGACCACCCCATTCCGAAGACCTTGGTATAAAGGGTCGTAGAGACCGACTGGAGACTTGACTGGCTGTCGAGTACAGCTAAGTACCCCGAGATTTTGTAATTTATGTTTCATGTTGAAAATGGAGTATTAATTACTGAATCATAGTATTTACGGTTTTATTCACTGTTGGTTTATTATTTAATAGTATTTATTGATTTATTGCCGAGTATAAGTTAACGTTTACCCAGATTGGGCTCAATTTTAGTAAATCTGAGAGATCAAGTATTTTTGTTGTATTTCATCTGTAAGCGCAAGTGATCACTTTCTGCAGATAAAACCTTGTCAAATGAGATAATATTGCATAAGTACTGATACATTGTGTTACACCTGCCTATTTTTTTTTAAAAGAGCTCAATCCGTGATTCGAAAGTAAATTCCGTTAATAGAGTAGAATTAGGTGTCTCAAAGTAGTTTTAATTCAGGTAGCGCATCAACCTCATCTCCTCTTACCCACCCCACTGTCCCACTGACTAGCCAGTGTGATTCAGTCGTTCAGGAGACGAGGGGCTGCGTTGCACTTTAAATACTCTAATTCGAGTTACAGTATAAAGATATGGTATTAGTCTCCCGCCTCTCTGCAAAATTAATATCTACCAAACCCTATCAGCCTTCTCTAAAGTAAACAACATATTATTTTGTTGTCCATGATTTTAATACTGTAACAACTTTTAATTTGCAGGATAGGAATCCAAATGGATATCGATATAGCCAGGAATTTAAGCAATTTGCGCTCACAGTTCTGTTCGTCGTTCGGTTAAAAAACACACCTGCAAACGTTGGCCGCTAGAGCACCAGCACTTGCCGGGGTCCCGTTACGTTGACTCATGCTGGGCGATATTTTTTTGTACAAAATCGCCTCCTTAATGTGGCCATATTCCTGGCCGAGAAATAGTGAAATTTTTGGTGTTTTTAGGTACTGAAATCTTTAAAATAAAACGTGTAGAACAAAAGTAAGCACAAAAATAAAATCCTTGATGTTTTGTTTATTCATTGTTACCATTTAAATTTATTCAAATAAAATAATAACTAAAAAAAAGCGTTTGTAAAACATGCGTTTGCTGTTATCCTAACCCCACATTTTAAGAATTATTTTCACGTACTTATAAATAAAAGTAAACAATTTTATATGTAGAACTAAGCAAGTAAATGTTATAAGAATATTTACATGTGGAATTATATATAAAAAAGTTAGTATTTTCGTAGATTTCAGTACCTAAAACCTTGATGGTTTGATCGTTTTTTGTATGTGTTTATTCGTTTTACTGCAGCGTCTTTGAAAATACTCAGGTGGCATGACATAACATTCCTGTTATTTGATAAGCTTTAGATTATTCAGTTATTAAATGTTTGAAATTATTTGTCTTTGCGGAAAACACTATTTAAAGAATATGGGGCCCTTAAGACTAGCACCTAAGTTAATGGATGACCATATATATCCTAACGATTTAAAAAAAATGCGAGTTAAGTTGGCAACTCAAGTACTGAGTGCTACGGTAGCGGCAGCAGTGAATACTTACACCACTTTAAATGCATTACCTGCCGAAGCATATGGGACTGCCAATTTCATTGATGAAATTGATCGATTATTTGATACTTTTAACAGTAGTAAGATACATAATTGAAAACAGTTTAATAAGCCATTCACAGGGGCCGAAAAACAAGTAAATTTTTTAAATAAGATGTATAACAAATTTTGCAATACAAGAATAATGGACAAAAACAAAGATGTAACATCATCAATCAAATTTTTAAACGGTTGGAAATTATCTATAAAAGCATTGATAGGTCTCCATGAAAGTCTAAGTTGTAAATACAACACAATATATACATGACGATTAAACCAAGACTCATTAGAAAATTTTTTTGGGACTGCGTCAACAGGGTGGAAATGCCAGAAATCCAACTCCTACACAGGTCAACCAAGGTTTTAAAAAATTATTCTGTTTGAGTTATTTTAGGCACTCCGAGAAAGGAAATTGTGTAGATTTTAATAAATACAAAAATAGTTAAGGGTAATGCAAAGTTTGTTAATTTAGATATAGGACAGGCAGTTTATATAAATATAGATATGCCAACTAAAAATGCCGTAAATTATATATCGGGTTATTTGTTAAAAAAATGCTTAGAGAAACATCAATGTGATATGAGCATTGAATATTCTAAACAGCATATGCATTTATCTGAAGATATTCTTTTTAGCTTTTTTAAAAGCGTATGGAACCAAAGACAGAGATTCTTTCGGAAATCTTTTAATACCTCAGGAGCATTTTGTAAAATATTTATTTGAATTAGAAAAAATATTCGCAGAAAATTTTCGGAAATGTGCAATAGAAAATAATGTGGGGATAAATATCAAAAAAGATTTATATGTACCAGTAAATCCCCACCCATGTAATGAGTTCCCGCATGATTGTCTATTATCTTTATAGACAATATTAAAAATTTATTACACTCTAAAATATACAAATAGAGACTTCATTCAACAAAAGCCGAGTGTGAGTCAAAAGATAAAAAACGTGAAAAATTTGTGAAGATCTTTTTATTTTTAAAACCGAGTTCTAATATTCTCAACAACCTACAAACAGCTAAACTCCGCATGCGGCCTGTTTCTTTGGATTGCGTACTTTATTATTTAAATTGGGTACCTGCATTTTGAGACAAAATATTGATGTTTTTTAATGTTTAAATGAAAGGATATGTTTATATACATGTGATTACCTATGTAATAATAACAAAAGTGTATGTTTGCCGTCTCTAGTAATAAGTTTTGTTTGTATAAAACGAACCAAAACAAACGGTATAGAAGAATAGTAGTAGTATCTAGTACATTATTTTGTAGGTTTATTTATGCACTACTTTTTATAATACTTATAGATTACAACAAAGTAAGTTTTATGGGTTATAGTTAATTATCTCAAACATTTTAACTTTTTATACATTACAATCAGTTTCGTCATCACAGAGATATTACATTATTGGCTCATTTTGTTACAGGTTTAAGCATGGATGAGACATTAACACATAGCAGTAATTTAGTTGAAGAAACAGAAAATCTCCCCCATGATTCCCCCATTATCATCACAGTTAAGGATGGTCCAATAGGTAAGAACTTGACAAGTCCTTAATCCATTTTTAATTTTCAAACTGTTAAAACATATTTGAACTAAATTTGGTCAGTGTCAAGTATACTTACATCATAGAAGGTAAAAATAATAAAGTTATTCATATTTAACACCATAGCATCTAGCTCGATGTACTGAGTTGGTTGTCAGTGTTATCAACTGGAGCTGTCTAATAATTTTTCGGCAATTTGCAAGTTTCTATTGTTGTGTATGTCTCGGTTAACCTGCTTGACACGCCATTGAGTTGCGGCACTCTCTGACACTCCAAAATGGATTTAATATTGGAGAGGCTATCAGTAGGAGGATACAAACAAATTGAGACTGATGAATGTATTAACAACCTACCACTGAAAAAAAGTGAAGACATTGTCAGATTTGAGGAAAGACTGAGAAATCAGGAAAATTTTGTAATACAATTGGTAAACTTATTTTCTGTAAATTTAAACACATTATTTCCAATAATTGTTTTTAGAGAAATGTCCTTCAGATTGTGGGAGGAAGCGATGCGGGCAAGTTGTCAAGAAGGTGTTTATCTAAAATATTTAATGATGATTTGGCAGCAAATGCTCATGGACAGGGTTAAAAGGAAATTTTAAAATTCAAGGATTGATAACCATTGAAGAAATAAGGAGTAAGTTAATACTTTTTGTTGCTTGTTTGTAGGAAATAAAGGTTAGATGTGTGATAAGAATAAAGTAGATAGTACAATTTATCAGAAATTTACATGCTACTGATTAAAATTTTATAAAACGAGAGGTGTATTGTAATTTTCTTGCCGATTATTCATAATTATTAGTCATAAATCCATCTTCTGAGAATACATATTTCTTTTTTTTTATTATACATTGTTTTCCAATTCAGAAGGTTAATAATATATCAATGCTTTTCTTACAGAGGTTGATTGATTTTTGTTAAAAAAAAAACACACCTACCAGTGTATAGATCAGTTGTTTCCTCATATAAATTCTGTGATATATTCCAAATAGTCCAACTCAAAATTTTAACTTCAATTTAGTTACATCAAAATAAATTTGTAAAAAATACAAAATCTTTGAAATAGTGAAAATTTATAATTTGTAATTCTTTTCAGGTACTGCTACTTCTGACTTTGAATTTGAACGAATAGTAAAGGATTTTTTCCGCTACGGGGAGCAGAGGAAAAACAAAAAATCCATGAAACATGTATACATAAACCATAGTTGCTCACTTATTTTTTGTTTTCGGGTTGGTTTTAAAAATACAGAATATAGGAAATGATTTAAGTGTCAAAATATTATAGCAAGGAATATCACTAAATTGTATTCACTTTAAAAAGATTTTTTTAATAAATTTAGTTATCAACAATAAGCTATTGAGAAACATTTATTTCAAAATACTGGGTTTTCCATGTCATTTAATAAGAATTAACGTGAGTTTATTACATTTCATAATTTTTAACAGAATTGCCCAAAACACACTGTGATAAATATTGCTAACGGAACCAATAGAACTGAGTGCCTAATACTTGTGAGAATCAAAATACTGCAGCAAAACACATTGTAATTAAAATATCAGTAAAAATTTGTTTCAGATGAGTAGACAGTTTATATAGTTGTCTCAAACGCGCAACAAGCGGGTATGTGTAATGGCTTCTCAAGCTGATGAAGTACAAAGTTTGACTAGTTTGACTGTCACACGAAGCTACTTTTTTATAATAATTTATAATATAATAATTGTAATCAATTCATACATTTAAAACTGTAATTAATTAAAAAGTAAAATCAAAACTTCTTAATTAATAAAAATAAATCGTGACTTATAATTTTGTGATATTACTTGCATTTTTTTTTTCATATTTGGTTTCTATGTCATCTTTAAAATGGTGAATCATTTCTCTAATTTAACTTGTTCATGAAAAAACATTTGGCAGTTGAGAAACTTTAAAATCGAGTAGTTTAATAGTTCCATTTTACATTTTTGGGCGATTAAATGTTTACTTATTTTAGTTTTTAAAATTGTTGACATTTTCAAAATAATCCAGCTCTGAAAATACTGTATCATGTTCAATATTTTTTGCCATGACTTATAAATGTTCTTCTTGCAGGTTGGGAAGGAGTAACATGAGTTTACAGCAATAAATATTTTTATTTTTATTGTTGTTTTCTTTCTCCAATATTCACAAATTTTAAATCATAGTGCTATAAAATAGTGGTCCCAATGAGATAGTTACTGAGACGAATTGTAGCGTTTTTTTATTTGTTGTATTATTAATCTCTATTCAGTGACCTGGAATTCATGTTTGACATATATTGTTCATAATTATATCAATAAAGAGATCATATATGGAGTACAAATCTTGATAAAGTGGTGTCAATATTTAGTTTAATAAATATCATTCCTGCTAATGGATTTCTGTCACAAATGTGTGATTTCGAAGTGGTAACAAAGTGACAATTAGGTTAGTCACTTTTGGGACGTGGCTGCCTGCGGACATTAAGCATCTTTATGACGTGATTGTGATATGGCTGCCAACATAGAGTGTGATGTCACAGTAACCAAGGTGATGACATTATCACGATTTTGCGACGTTATTTGGTTTAGTGGGTAACCTCAAATAAACATCCCAAATTTCCCATTTTTCGACAAAATTAAAGATATAGATATAGATAGATAGACACTAATTTTCAGTCGATTTGGCCAATAAAATGATTAAACATCCATCAATTTTTTCATTTGTGCCACATTTACAATCTACAACCTGAAGTCCCCAGATACCAATTTTCAATAGAATCGGATATTAAACGACAATAAGTTAAACGCCATCTATAATCTTTATTTGTTGTCCTATTATATTAAAAAAGAATCGTCTAAATCAGTTCACAAATACAAGAGATATGAGGTACCATACATAAAAAGAATGATACAATCGCATTGACAATCTGTTCATCCTTCACCTCACCCAAACACGGATGCAGCAAGTGAGCTAACAAATAAATGTTTTTTAATAAATATATTCCGTGTACCTTCGAGAAATCCAAATTTACGGACACAATAACCAATGAGGGATTGAAATATATAACTGGTTATGTGGTGTATAGGTTTAATGAGAAGTACAGATCTCAATTTAGGCGTTCACTCGCATACATACCTTAAATAAATCGCAAACTCCAGATTGGATGCCGAATACTTTTCAACGGGTAATCTACTGTATCCAAGTGGAGATATGATAAAATTAGCTCGTGTTTTGAACACCGAGTTTGAACATTTTCATGGTTCTACGTTTTCTAAAGAAACGATGATTTTTTATAAGTTGGCCGACTGTATTGCTACTCATAACACATAACATAATTTTGACAGTAAATTTCCTCAGGTAATTGTTCGTTGTGTAGTCCGCACTAGAACCTATATAAGACTGAGGGAACTTAATAAAAAAATAACTTTTGATAATTGCAAAAGGAAGTTAAATAAAAAAATGTCATAGTTTACCAATGCAAAGAATGATATAATTTAAGTATTTATAATTTCTAGGTTTAAGTTGAAATATGAAATATTGTTTTGAAACTAAATATTAATAAGTAGGCAAACATTTTGTGATACAAAAGTTCACAACGGATGTCTAACTATAATTTCTAATATTTATAATTATCACAGGTACTCTTACTTATATTTGTATTTATTTCTTGACTAAAAAAATAATAGAAAATTACAATTAAGTGTTGTTATTTTGTCCTCTACCTTTAATTTATACATTTTGCAAAGAATAAGACAATTTCATTAATAGAACAAAATAAAAACGATCACGAAATTAAAATATCCTATGATTATCATGCCGTGGCTATACTAAAGTTAAATTCAATTCAAAGCGTGCTCCCACCGTGACGTCACATCGGTGGGAGCGGAAGTGACAGAAATCGTAAAACAATTAAAAAATTAAAAGACACTGGGGGAGGATAATCTAAGTTCAAATAGTTAAAAAATAATAATAAAAGAAATTGTTGAACCATTAACGTTTATTTTAAATGAATGTACATATAGGTATGTAGGATGCATGAATTTTCTGATGTACAAACAATTTTATTATTTTTAGCAGTGGCGTCTGTACAGGTTTGTGCTTTCAGGGTAATTTTCTTTTACCATTCCAAAATGTATGTAGATTACTGTAATTTCATAATTTCAACGTTTAAAAGTTATTGAGCCGAGCTCATAATCTTTTACTAAATACCACTATCAAGCTATTTTTAATAAAATAGGATAGTATACTATTAATGGTAGTAGTGCTCATAATATAACTACCAAGATATTTTAGTAAATTGTAAGGTAAATCTGGCAAACGTGATCTACAAAATGTCAAATATTTATGACAGAGAGAAATATATAGAAATTTATTTATGTTAACACGAGATAGAAACAATATAGGTAATCTGCACTAATAAGACCGTGTTCTATGATTTTACCTTCTGTTTTGTGTTCTGTCTTCAGTTTTAATTTTCTTATTTCTTAACCTAAAATAATTACTGAAATCTGCTGAAATTAACTAGTGTCTGATTCTCACACCTCTGTGCTGATTGGTATAAATTGTTGTTCAGGTAGGTATTTAAAGTATTGTAGTAGGTTTGTAATATATTTGATAATGTATTACACATTTTTATTATTTCTAGATAGAATTAATCATGGCAAAAAAAGTAAGAGGCGACAATTGGTCCAAGGATGACAAAATGTTGTTGATACAACTTATTGGCGAGAATTTAACTATCATTGAAAACAAATCCCAAGATGGGAAAATTTTAAAGATGAAAAAAGTTATTTGGCTTAACATAAGCAAACAGCTGTCAGCACAAGGATGTACACGTGATGTTGAAAGAATAAAACAACAGTGGCTGCGAATGAAAGCAACTGCAAAGAAAAACATTTATAATTATAAAAAGCAGCAAAAGAAAACTGGTGGAGGGCCACCCCCTGATGATCTCCACCCAATAGATATTGAAATATATAATATGATACCACAAACATTTACTAAAGATGAGAATCAGTTTGACTGTGATGAACAAGAACTATTTGAAGAGGCTGATAATTCATCAGTTCAAGTGCAAAAAAATACCATGTCGCTGTTGAATGAAATTCAGATTGAAGTATATAATGAAAATAACGTTATACAAGAAAATCCAATTGACCCCTCTGTCGAGGTTTTGCATCAATGTATGCCTAATAATTCACAAATTTTAAGGTATTTAAGATTAATTTGCCTTTGAGATTATAATGAAACTAAATTGAGCAAGTTATTTCACCTACTTTAATAACATAAACATAAACATAAACATAAACAAACATAAACATAAACATAAACATAAACATAAACATAAACATAAACATAAACATAAACATAAACATAAACATAAAACATAAAACACACCACAGAAATGAGACAACCCCCAAATCCAAAAGCCAAAGGCTTGTGCGGAAGGGGGCTACACTTGAAAAAACGCGGACAAACACCCATTATCCATCAACATTGCCAGTGCCGACACCGGGGATCGAACCCGAACCAGAGT